ATCATTAAGGCCTCTATACCCCTAAATCTCATATAGAGCCTTTTAGAATTATAGAACCCTTAAAGACTTAAAGGATCCTTCAAGCGGAACCCTATTCTAATTATTAACGCCTCTATATTACTCAAACAGATGCTGTTCTGGGCTAGCAGCCTAGCTCCGGGGACCGGATCGTGTAGGATAAAGTTTAGGGTTTAGGGTTTAGAGATCAGGTTTCAGGGTTTAGAGTTTAGGGTTTAATTAGGGTTTTCTAGGGCGGGAGGGGTGCGAAGCGGAAAGCGATTGAGGGCGTCTGCGAGTGTTTAGACTCTGGACGGTCCTCCGCACCCCCCTCCCTCAAAAAAGCAAGCGAACATTTAGCGACATCTATAGGGCCTAGGGGACACATAAAGACGAATGTGTTTCGGCTGCATAGCTTACATTAGGTCTTCAAAATCCAGCCTTCAAACTTCTTGGGTTTCACAACATTTGCATGCATGCTTCTGACAGCTCCACGTACTTCATTCATTATTTCCTGGAGCACTCTACAAGGCTCCATGTACATATTGTAGTATACTTAGGCCTTTATAAAGTACCTACATTGGAACCCCTTCAAGGCGTAAGGGCCTACGTAAGTAAATACTCTACCCTAAGGGTCCAGGTATCTCCTTAGGAGGGAATCTCCTAGAGAGAGCCCTTGGGTCTCTTTGGGGTCTCAGAGCTCCTATTTGTTGAGGTTCCCCCGAAGTGTTAGGACCCTTAGGGTATGAAAAAGGTACGAAAATAAGGGGTCCCTCATCTTGGGGTCCTTATAATAAGGATCCTACTGTTTGGGGTATTATATTCGGGTCCCCTATTTTCGGAAACTCCCACATGGAGCCTGAGCGGTTTCGCAGAGAAGTAGGAACCCTAAGGGTCCATCTAGTATATACTTTGGCCTTAAAGTACTCCCTACATAGGTACATTGGGCCCAAAGTACATACTATTTAGGTACATGGACCTTTAGGGGAAGCCATCCCAGAAGAGAGCTTGCCTACCGAAAGCAATACCAAGTCGCAGACCCAGGATGCTGCACCATGCTGCGGCTTGCGAAACCCTAAACCCTGAACATATGGACCCAACAAGGACATACCCAGAAGCTCCATAGTAGTTCCTTTTTGGCAGCACCCTAAAGGATTCTAATGGACCACAAAAAGGAACTATTATGGAGCCTATGGGTAAGCATAACCATTTTACAAGCATATCCTCACCTTGCTGGGCTCCACTATCAGATGGTTTTGTATGGGATGATAAGCACTAAACTCTGCTTCCCTTCGCAGGCAGAGGCGGAATCGCTGGGGCCACAGTCATCCGCATCTGGTTATGTCGTACACCCGAAAGGAGCGTAGAAACGGGAGGATCTTATCATGGAGTTGTGCGAAACCTTAGCCTACCAGACCCTACTTTTTATAGGTTCTTAATATAAACCCTAATATGGAGTTCATAGGGACCCTACAAAAAAGCAGGGTTTGGTAGGTTAAGGAATTGCAAAAGCCCCTGATTTTGCCATTTCTGGAAGCCGGAAGCTCCTGATGTTTATGCTGCTTTGCGTGGCTTGAGCTTAGAGTCTGAGGTGCGTTCACGGTTTGGGGTTTAGGGTTTAGGGTTTTAGGGTTTAGGGTTTTATTGTTTAAGGTTAAGGGTTTAGGGTTTACCTGTATCCCCAAACCCTACAAAATAGTAGGTTATGACACTGCTTAGGGTTTAGGGCTTAGGGCTTACGCTTTAGGGTTTAGCTGTTTCCTCAGGCTTTGGGGCCCCCTTACCCTAAGCCGCAAGCCCTACAATCCCTAAGCCCTAAGCCCAGCAGAGCGTACACCCCAAGTCTATCTCTCTAAATCTTGAAGCCTACCTAGACGTGCCTTCGCCGTTGCCCTTGATCGTGGCCTCTGGCTATAAACCCTAAATTGTGGCCCCTTGTTGCCTCGTAATGATGCTTGCGAGGTCCCTTCGGAGGGTTTCAGGTTTGGGGTTGCTTGGACCCCAGAAGTGTTACGGCCGAGTCCTAGCTTAAGGAAGAGCTCACTACCTGGCTAAACCCCAGGGCTTAGGGTTCAGATTTTCTAGGGTTTATGGTTAAACCCTAAACTTTATATAAGCCCTCTTCTAAACTTTACATAAACACCCTATTCTAAACTTTATATAAACCCTATTCTAAGCTTTATATGAACCCTATTCTAAACTTTATATAAGCCCTATTCTTCACAAGCGCTGCAGCTGCCCGATGCCCGAGCTCATGCAGGAACCTGCTGTCGGATCCTTCAGAAACTCTCACGAAGCCATGGCTCGCGGTCGCATCACGTATCACTTTACATTCATTGACATGGCCGAGGACCGCCAGGTGCAAGGGGGTCAAAGGGGGCGGGTATACAGGTAGGCAGGACTAACCCCATCCCTCCAAGGACCTCATAGTTAGGGTCCTAGACCCCATTAAGGACCCCATAATAAGGTCCCTGCAGGCATAGGGTAAGATTTTGCGGCTCTTATTTGTCACTCCCCCCTTTTCCGGCTTCTATTGTGCGTTCGCCTCTGGAGCCCTTTTTAAGGTGGTTGGCAAAGCCCGTGGTAGGGCCCAGAGCCTTTCCCCGGTGGTATCCGCGGCACAGACGGAGACCCTTGTCGTGGATGCATCTCGGCTCTTGTCAAAGAATCATGGAGCCTATCTTAAGATACCATAATCCTTAAAAACATGTAAAAAAGTGTACTGTGGCTATAGATCCCGTAGGAAGACCCTAGGCATGGGCGCAGCGTCATCTTCGCACACTCCAACAGGGGCAGGATGCAACAGTTTGCGACCCACCTGCGCCAAACCCGGGCAGTGTCGGACACCCAGCGTTGTGCAGTCGGCCATGCGTCTACTTTGCAAAGCAGGGGCAGTGCCCAACGGGTGAAGCCTGTGGGTACTGTCACCATCACCACTCCACTGCCCGAAAGCCTGACAAGCAGCAGCGCGAGTTGATGAAGATGATGCCCAGGCTCGGTGATCCTTTGGAACCATTTTTGTTAGTGCCTGTTCGAAGACAGTATTCAGAAGGGGTTGTTAGCAATTTGAATCTTCGTCCGGGTCGAAGCGGCTCGTAACTTAAATCCTAAATCCTAAACCCTTTATTAATTTAATAGGAACCCTTAAAGGATCCCTTTAAAGGAACGCCCCCCCCCCCTAAGCAGGGCGGCGCTACTGTCTCTGCTGGCAGAGCTACTTCTTGAGCGTGCCGAGCAAGATGGACTCAAAGATGCCGGCTTTGCTGTGGCCGCCCCTTGGCAGGGTCTAGGGTTTTAGCGTTTATAGGGTTTTAGGGTTTAAGGGTTTAGGGTTTAGGGTCTAGGTTTTAAGTTTAAGTTTGGTTTAGGGTTTAGGGTTTGAGTTTAAGTTTGGGTTAGGGCTTAGGGTTTAGTGTTTTGCGCCGGTTAGCATGCGATGCGTGACTGGTTTAAACTTGGGTGTCGGTGAGGTGACCTTTAACCTTATTTAATCAACTAGAATTCCAAAAGACAACCTTTTCTGGGCCAAGGTACTCGCCCCCGTAGGTAGGGTTTAGGTAGGGATTTTAGGGCTTCGGGTTTTGGTCTTGAGGGGTATGGCCTGCCTGCTGTAAGGTTTGGGCAAAGTCAAGGTGGTGGGGATTTTTGTTGACCTGTTCCTGAAGGGAACCATCTAAAGTCAAAGTCTATACTCTTTTCTCCGTGCTTACTCTAAAGCCCAGAAAACGTGAACTTAAACCTTCAAACCTAAGCCCTTAACATTTCAAGCCTTTAAATCCTGAACCCTATAAACCCGAAACCCGTAAACCTCTAAATCCTCAACCAAGTCAAGGTGCCCTAAACCCCAAACCCTAAACCTCCAAACCCTAAACCGTAAACCCCTAAACCCTAAACCCTAAGCCCCTAAACCCTACACCCCAAGTCGAGGTGGTGGCTGTCCATGCAGGGCTTCCGGCTTCCTCAACTTCCTTTTCCAAGCGGGAGTGTCGAAATCTTCGACTCATTCGCCAGGTGCCATGGTTTAGGGTTTAAGGGCTTAGGGGCTTTGGGTGTCGGGGTTTAGGATTTAGGGTTTAGAGGTTTAGGTAGGGCTTTGGGTTTAAGGTTTACCCATAGGCTCCATAGTAGTTCCCTTTTGGGAATACCTTAGAGGATTCTAAATATGAACCCCAAAAAGGAACTACTATGTGGCCTAGGGTTTAAGGGCTTGGGGGCTGGGTGTAGGGCTTTAGGGTTTAGGGGCTTTGGGTTTAGGGTTTTGGGGTTTCAGGTGGCATGCAAAGTTTCTTTAGCGCGCTGTGCAGCGAACAGCTTTGTGACTCTGTGGATGTCAATGCCATGGCGTCTTCAAAGCACGCAACATCTCATACCCATATGCTACATAGTAGTTCCTTTTGGGGGTTCATATTTCATCCCATACGGTATTACCAAAAAGGGATTACTATGGAGCCTATGGGTACTGATTCCTCGACTTTAGGATACTTCAGGGAGTTCAGGATTCTGTGCATCATCCGCGCCAATAGATCTCAGTGAATCCAAGGGTAAAAGGAGGGACCCTAGGTATATACCCTTAATATAGCTGTTGTATACCCGTTATATGGCCCATTATATGGTAGGGGTCCCCATCAAGGGTCCCTCCTTTTCCCCTTTGAGTGAAAGGAAATCCTCACTGCCAGGTGGTTGGGGCCATGAACTTCTCCGCAATGCTTTCGCTGACTGCGCGCTACTGTGACGGGCGCAGTCAGGTTGTACTACTGCAGGAGCTCAGAGCTCTGCAGAACAATGCCCAGTAAGAGCAAGGTGCGTTCAGCACAGCCGGCTGCACCTCACATAGCGACGGTCCGATCACTCATAAGTCATAAGCGCTATGTTTTCATACATCCTAAACCGAGAAACATGCCCATGCAAGCATTGCATGCACATCGACGTCTCTTGAACCAGCGCTCCCCCCCACAAGGGTCCCTATGATTTAGTAATTCAGGTCCCTACTGGGAGGGTCGAGGGACTTACTAAGTAGTTATTTTAGAGAGTTATAAGTACCACAACCCCAAGTAAGGTCCCTTTTAGGGTACTTATAACACTACTTATTACCCACGTGCTAAGTCCCCCGACCCTCCAAGTAAGGTCCCTACATTACCTAACTCCTAAACCCTGAACCCTAAACCCTAAGCCCCTAAACCCTAAACCCTAAACCCTAAACCCTAAACCCTAGGATAGAGCGGCGGCCCGATAGCCAAAGATGCTCGTGCCGACTCCCTCGGAGGGTAGAGTGAAAGCGACGGGTTTATGTTTTTAGGGCTTTAGGGTTTCGGGTTTAGGGGTTGGGGTTTAAGGGCTTAGGTAGGGGTTTAGGATTTAAGGTCTAGGGTCCTTTGTTTTATTTTGTCTACTGGGTTCCTGAGTAGTACCCTTTTGGACTTGTTGGTCTCCTTTTTAAAACCGAATAGTAGGAAAAAGGGTATCCTTGTTCCAAATGCGCCAATTACTCAGCAATAGTCGAATGTAGTGAGATACAAGATGAAAAGATAAGCGAGAAACGGTTATGATGCAATTCAAGAAGACATAGAGTTGTTTATGAGATAAGATGTTGTACTGTACTATAGTTTAAACCGACAACCTTAATATTTGGGACTTGGACCCTTAGGGAGATATACTATCTTACGACATGATGTGGCAGAAAAAATACATCTAATTTGATACAGGGTATTCTTGAAGCTACTTTCATGAGATTCCACGCTAGAGTCTGCTTGAGGTGCAGTGAGGACGTGTCACGGATCTGCAGTGGAGACCTCGTGATGCTGAGGCCGGTATGCTTTTGCCGGTCCATCATGCAATCTCAAAGGGGAAAAGGAGGGACCCTTAATGGGGACCCCTACCCAATAGTGGGCTATTTAACGGGTATATAATAGCTATATTAAGGGTATATACCTAGGGGTCCTTATTAAGGGTCCCTCCTTTTACCCTTGGGCAATCGCTCGGCCACATTGGCGGCTCATCGTGACTCTGCTTAGCGCGTGAGTCGCCGACAGTGGACTGCCTAGTAAGCTTGCCTCTGTAGAGGATGGATTTGCAGTTTCTTGGAACTGCAGGAATCAACGTTGGCTCCGCACGCCCCAACCCTACTATAGGGCCCGAAAATATTTACTTAGACCATGATTATGGGGGCTCCTTATAATTATAGTATAACGGGCCCCCAAATCCTATTCAATATTGTAATTATTAAGGCCCCCACATTATGCCCTAAATTGTCATCACACATAGTACACCCTCTCCAGGAAATCACCCTAAACCTTACGTTCCGGCGGTCGGTGCGTTAAAGCAGCAGGAGCTAAGAACACAACCAATTGACCTTGGGTTGAGGCTGTGAGGGGTTTAGATGAACTACGGTTGATGATATAAATCCTGCATTACCTTAAGGACCATAGACTATGGGAATTATGGCATATTCCTTATTATGGGTAATGCAGGATTTATATCATCAACAGTAGGATCTTGGATTTTAGGTCGAACCTGCAGGGCCTAGCATGACGGCCCTGACTATAAGCCTATAGGCTAATCTCCTAAAGGTTCCCAAGGACCTGATACTTAGGGTTTCTGAAAAAAGTTCTAGAAGTGTTCTATGGGTTCTCAACGGGAGCGACAGGGGTCTTGTATGGTTTTACGGGTTCAAAAACGGACCTAACAATGACAAAGAGGTGCTTGGGCGCGTGGGTCCAGGATAGTATCGTTACATGGGTTAGTATTTGGGCGAGTATCATCCTTGGGTACCCCTTCAGGTGCCCTAATTAAGCCCCAAACACCAACCTCTAAACCCTGAAGTTTAAACCCCAATACGAAACCGTAAACCCGGAAGCTTCCATAATTTCCAGAGTCTTGATTTGAGGCTAGAGGCAGGCCACACATGTATGTTTTCCAGCGCAGTGCGCTTGTCAACCCAAGCGTGGGAGTCTTTGTTCTGGTAGATCCGGAAGGTCCACTATTCCTGAATCTTCTGGATGCGGTGCGAGACTTCGTCTGTGTACTCACAACGGCATGCTCCGTCTGGGCGTGCAACGCACGTGCCCCCTCTGGGGTTGGTCCTGTGCGGCCACTGCTGTTGTGACACGAGCGGCGGAATCTCTTCATCGTTTGATCCAAGACAGATCCATTCAGCTTGCAAACAAAATAAGTTTTCACGGCGCTGACAGCGCTTGAAGGTCTTTTTTGTGATCTGTGCTTCGGCTGATGTACAAAAGCCTGCACCATATCGCACTACCTTAAGTACCCTAAACTCTGGGGTGTACTGGTACCCTAAGCCCAAGAACCTGAACCCTGAAATCCTAAAACCCTATTCCCTTTTATGGATAACCCTAAACCCTAAGATCCTAACACCCGTAAACCCTCCTCCTTATTATGGGTAATGCAGGATTTTGTGCACAAGCATAGAGTCGAAGCCAATCACTTCAATACACGAACGCGAGTTTTTTTGCAGAGCGGCTTGAGTTGCATTAATCTGGTCTACTAGAGGAGTCTTGATACTTAGAATACGGCAATACGGTTTTGGAGTATGCTGTAGTGCAGTTAGAGTAAAAGGAACCCTAAGCTATTCTGTTGATAACCCAATATACCCTGTAACTTTGCCACTGAAAATGCTCACCTCGTAGGTGCAGGTGTAGGGTCTGCATGGGTTCAGCGGCCCACGCCCCTTTCCTTCTGTTTTACTGGTAGTTGTATCATTTTCAAGAGCAATAGATAGCAGCAGTATTCGTAACAGCAATAGCCGCAGCAATAGCAACAGCAGCGGTAGTAATAATGGTATTAAGCCCCTTCTAAAAGCCTTCTTGACGTCTGCATAAGCTATAGGTATATGAGTTGACGAAACGATCTGGCTTGTCTGTATTGCATAGATCCCAATGTAGACCTCAGACAGATAAACAAATACAAAAGAAACGTTCTTATGGGCCTGCATCCCAAGATTCCTGGTATAATCTCTACACATTTCCGGGTGGTAATTACTCAGAGATTTAGAACAAGCTTGAATTCATTGACTGGTAGCAACAGCAGCAATTTCCAATCTCCAACTCGTTCTTGACAATGGAGTTCGTCTATCAGTTGAACGTTAGCAACAGAAGTGATGTTACAGCAGATAGATGATCAGCACTAGTTGTCATCATCGTGTGCGCCGCAAGATGCAAGTTCATCTCAACAATCAAACAAATCGCGAAAGCCGCAAGAATGACAGCACGAACTGCATCGACACAGCAAGTGGATTATGCATCAAGAAGAGCAGCCATCGAGATAATGGCAATACGAAGTAGTGGAAATCCTAGTTACCATGCCGTAGGCACTTTCATCGTCCGATTCACAGCAACCGTCATCGGATGATGGTGATGAGCAGGATGATGGTGGTGCCAGTGTTGGTTGTACGGAACGCTGTGGGAATCATGATAGAGCTGACGCTCTATATGCAGACGATGACGACAACATGTTACCGCTGCAACAGCGGGGCTCGTAAGAGCCCAGACACTTGCCACAGCGAGTTGTAGCGATATATAGGAGTTCCAGCAGAAGGAGCGCAAAACCAGCATAGGAACGATATCAGTGATGGTATCATATTCTTAACCAAGGATTGCTATGATAAAATCGTGCGGACAGCAAGATCACTACTGGCGAATCCTACTTCGTCAGCAGCCTGCCAACTAGCAACTCCCTAACCCTTAAACCCTAAACCCTAAACCGCCAGACTCTCAGACGCTTTGAGAATAGCAAGAGCGAGACAGCTCGTTTTCTGGCTGTCCGGGCAGCGCCCTTAGGCAGAGACCGGGCTTCGGGTGGAACGTGAAACCCTGAGGTTTACAGAGTGTCCAGGTTGATTTGCGTCGGAATCTGTCTTAGAGTTAATTCCTCGTGAGGATATGAATGAAGTGCAATAGGCTCCGACATCGTTTTCGCACATGGAAAAGGCAACTCCAGAACTCAGGCTCATGATGACTTGGTTCGCCCTTTTGTTCTGTGTCTGGAGGACTCGGCCGGGAGGCGTTGTGGTTTGCTGCAGGTTGCCACTTGGTTGAATCTTTCTCGATTCGTTGTTCTGTGTGCTAGACTTACTGCTTTACCGCACAAGGAAGTATAACTATTTTAGTTCTTACTGTTTTATATGCCAGGGCTCCTAGTAGTTTTGATGTCCAAACCCTACTCTAATGTCTCAGACCCGCCCATGACCGTCCCAGCCCATCTACGCGGAGGGTGGCGGGGATTCTTAGGATGAGGGCATCAAATCCGGGACAACCGCTTAGAACGACGCTTAGGGGTACTTAGATATGATTTTTAATTTTGGGTTATTCTAATCCCTAAGAAACAGCTTGAAAATAATTTTTGCTAGGGTTCTAAGTTCAGTATAGACGGATGTTGCAGGCGTTTCCTGTGCTTGACAGGAGCTTCCTGAGCCCAGACTCTGTGCGAAAACACTGCAAGGCAGTGCCCACAGGCTCCATAATACTGTTGATGGACGAAATCCTGCATGACCCTAAGGACTCTAAACTGTGGGAACTATGGTATATTCCTTATAAAGAGTAATGCAGGATTTTGTCCATCAGCAGTAGCTCCTTTTGGGGGTTCATATATAAAGAATCCTATAGGGTTCTCCCAAAAACGGAACTACTGTGGAACCTATGGGTACTTGCGATCGCAACAGTGATCGACTTCATGATTTCTTCGAGCTGGGAAAGACACAGCGCATCTTCTTCTACCGAGTGTGACACAGAGGCATTAGTCATTAGACAGCTTTTTGTTCATAGCAGTCCTCTCTGCCCATGAGGGTTTTGACTGGTCTGCAGCTCGGAGTTGGCAAGCATTTGACAGCGCAAGTTGAGCACAGCGCACCTCCGCATGATGTGTGCATTGACATGCCTGCAGTCTCCATTGTAGTTCCTACTTTGGCTGAACCGAGTGTTACGTAAGCAAGTTTTATAGCTAAGATCCCACAATATAGAACTGGTTACACAAAAAACATCAACAAGGAAGTACAACGGACGCTATGGGCGCAAATGATGTCCTAGACTTGATTCGAATCTTCAAAGCAGCTGGTTAAAAGAAGGAGCTTCTGAACTGCTACGAGAAGTTGCCAGAGTAGTTCCACCTGACTCAAGCACCAAAATATTCAGAATAGGGTTTCGGGATGTTACGGTAAAGTCATGTTAAAGAACCCCAAGGAAGAATATTTGTGAGTACCCGGGCTTCAAGATTAGTCTCAGTGTCTGAATCCTGTGACAACTGTGCTAAATCCTACTACATCCATGCTTGGAAGAGGCGGCTCGGGCTCAACCCCTAAACCCCTAAGCCCTACATCCCTAAACCGATAAGCCCCTAAACCATCCTAAACCCCTAACCCCTCAACCCTTTAGCCGTAAACTAAAACCCCTAAACCCCCCAAGCCCTAAACCGTTAAACCCCAATCCCCCTGTCGCCTTGTGTCTGGAGGGATCCGCCCGGCAGGCTTCCGGGTGTGAGGGGTTCAGGACCTAGGGTGTACCTTGAACTACGAACTCTACTTTCTTGTAGGGTCCTGACAAATTTCATAAATTCGGGCTTGTAATGAGAACCTACAAAAAAAGGTTGGAAGTTGATTATGAGGCACTTGGGTTTGGGCTCGTACTTAGTTGTGTAGGTTAATATTTCGGTGACTATATGCCTAAGCCCTAGACCCTAAACTAGGTACTTAGACCCTTAGGGCAAGGAGGTTTCATGCACCCCCAAACCCTAAACCCTAAAACCTCAAACCCTAAACCCTAAAACCCTAAACCCTAAACCCTAAAAAACCCTAAAACCCTAAAACCCCATGAGGCGATCACCTTCGACGTGGAGTTGCCAGAAGGACGCCGTGAGGGCGGACGAACTCGAGATGGGCAGGCCTGGAGCTGCAATTCTTCTTCGGGTTTAGGGTTTTAGGGTTTTAGGGTTTAGGGTTTTAGGGTTTAGGGTTTTGGGTTTAGGGTTTGAGGTTTTGGGGTTTTAGGGTTTACGGTTCAGGGTTTAGGTTAGGGTTAAACCGTAAGGGTCCCAACACTTTAGGGAACCTCGAAATGTAGGATTTCTGAGACTCCAAAGAGACCCAGGGGCTGTCCCTTAAGAGATTCCGGACCCTCCACTATAGCGGGCTCATCGGGTTTAGGGTTTATACAGTTTAGGCTCATCGGGTTAAGGGTCTAGGCTCATGGGGTTTAGGGTTTGGTGTGGTTGGTGGTGTGGTGGCGTCTAAAGTGTTTTTGTTTGTTTTGCTTGGCTCCTTTTGTTGAAGCGGAAGGGGGGGCCGGCAGTGCCTTGCATTCCGCTTCTATTTCAAGAGGCATCGGACTAAGAAATTAGCTTCCGGAGAGAGTTGAAAACAAGAAGAGACAAACTGGAGAGGGTTGAAGAAAATGTTAGTACTAGTTCCCGTCACTTTACTTATAGCCTGCTTGCCTGGTCGCTTGCTCCTTCAGGTAGGGCTTGAGCACAGTTATTGTGGTGCTTTATATACCTGTAGACGAAAAGACCTATCTTTTTAGGCTTCCTTACTATTGCTTCTATATGTATATATATATATATATATATATATATATATAGCTCCTAAAAAGTTAGATCTTTTGGGCCACAGGTATAGCTTGCGCCTTTGAGGGTGGTGGTTCGGTATCCAGGGCTTGTTGTTGTGAACCTTCAATCCTAAACAACCCTCAACCTGCAGTAGAAGGCAGAGAATTGGAGCATCAGTATCCTCGTGCCCTTCAGGTAAAATTTCGGAAATCCTAGCACTAATCCTCCTAATTCCTTTGTCATACTTGGGTAACATTTTACATGTTTATGGGTACTTAGACCCAATAAGGAATTTGAACTAGATTCCATGGTCCAACCTTCTTGGGTTCACTATTGAACCTGGAGCCTTCCTCAGGTCTTCTCATGGCAAGGCCAACTCGTCTGCTCCCGCGGATGCCCGCACTTCGAGGGGACGGCGCGGAGTTGGGAAACCCAGAAGCTTATGCTGCCGTAGGGTTTAGAGCTTGGGGACTGTTGTGTAGGGTTTATGGCTTCTGGGGCTGTTGAGGGTTTAGGGTTTAGAGGTCTGGTGCTGTTGAGAATTCAAGGTGTAGGGTTTAGGGCGTTGGGGCTGCTGAGGGTTTAGGGTGTAGGGTTGAGGTTTGTTGGGCTGTTGAGGTTTCAGGGTTTAGGGTTTGGTTTGGGGCTGTCGAGGGTTTACAGCTTTGGGTTTGGGGTTGTTAGGATTTAGGATTCAAAGCTTTCGGTTTGAGGCAGATTTGTGAGTGGTAAGCCCTTCCTCCCTTGATATAGGTTCGCATTGAGATGATGTGTCTTTGTTGATGGGCAAGGTGACGATATGCTGCTTATTCATCTCGTGGCCAGAGCTTCAAGTCTTACTGTAGACTCCTTTCAGACTTCTCGGTGTGCTTAAACCCTAACCCCGTGAACCTTCGCTCCAAATCCCACAAATCTTGCCCTTACAGCCTCAACCCTACGCCTGAGGTCGCGTCAGCGACCTTTCCTACGAATGGTGCCCAGCTTCATATGGGAGTTTCCGAAATCAGGGGTACCATATTTTGGGGCCCTTATAAGTCCTACTACCAACCGAGAGCTTTGAATCTTGAATCCTCGGAAGTTCGAAACAGGGGTCGTTGTGGAGTTCTCCAGGGATGTTAAGTGGGGTTTCTGTGGACCCCGAACCCTAAACCCTAAATCCCTAAATCCGGCCATGAGACTTGTCATTTAGGATCCAAGGGCCGGAATTAGAGTTTATTAGATCGCAGGGTTTACTGGTCCAAGCACAAGAGTCGAAGCGTTACTGTTGATGGACAAAATCCTGCAGTACCCATTATAAAGAGTATACCATAGTTCCCATAGTTTAGAGTCTTTAGGGTCATGCAGGATTTCGTCAATCAACAGTATGGACAGCCAGCCCAGCATCTCCACCGTTTAAGCAGCGAGGTGACGCACCACCTATATACCTGAACCCACAAAGTGCTTCGGGTTCAGGGCTCAGGGTTTAGGGCTAATTTGGGGTTAGGGTTTAGAGCTATGGTTACCTACTTTTTGGGTTTAGTTGAGGGCGTACAGCACCGTCGCACACAGATTGTATGCCGAACAAATCCTCGCCTTATTGTGTAACTGGTTCTTTATACGTAGCGATGGCTGCTTCAAGAACACCCGGCCTCCAAATGGGAGTTTCCAGAAAATAGGTGACCCTAATAAAGTACCCTAAATAGTAAGATCCCTAGTAAAAGGACCCCAGAAATGGGTACCCCTGACTTTCGGAAAGTCCCAAATTGACCCTGGGCGGCACGGCCTTAATAATTAGTAATAGGGCTCCTTTAAATTAAGGGTTCCTTAAAGGGCACCGGAAGGGATCTACAGTAGGGATCTATCGTAGGGTTCTATAGTATGGAGCACGGCCGCTGCAGTTGGAGGAGCTCGGGGCACGACTTCGATCGGACGCTCTGCCGTGCCAAGTACCATCAAAACAACAGGAACCCCAAGGGTCCAAAGGACCCAATAATCCGGTACTGGCTTCCTTTAAACGGTTCTAGAGGGTTCCTTTAAAAAGGCTACTATAAGGGTTCTATTATATGGGCCTTCATAATCAGGTATTCGGCTTTAGGATAGTAGTTATGTAGGTTAGGATTTCGGAGAATATATGATTATTAGGTATTTGGACCCTTGGGGGAAGGTCTCACCGGAGACGCTGGCTGGTGCGCTGAGACTTTGTCGGAGCTGATGCAAAGACTCTGCGAGGTGCACGAGGTACCTCTTCACCTGCAGCGAATCCAGACCCCCGGGAGGATCTGGAAAGTAGATCCCCTAATTTGGGGCCCTATACTGTAATACTACTAAGGGTACTTTACAGGAACCCCCATTAAAGGATCTACTTTTTGGATCCTCCAAAGGGGGTCTGGGAATCCTCAGGGCCGATGAGATTTTCTCGGCTTCTTCGCTGCTGGGCGAATACCAGCTGCAGCCTTCAGGCAATCAATGTCTCGCTCGAGAAGCAACTTGCGGGTCAACCATAAACCCTAATTAAATTCTAGGGGCTGCGCCCAGGTGCGGGCAGCGCGAGTTGTTGTCAGCGGATGTAGCGGGGGAACGGGAAAGACACGGTCAAAATTTCCAGACGGTGCCGAGACAACGACAGCTCGACACCGGAACAAAAGTGTGTCGTAGGCCCGAAGTGCACAACTTATGGGTGATCTTACGCTCTTAGCCCTCGTCGGCCCTCCATGTAGCCCGCATCCGCCCTCCGCCGGACCCCGCTGATGCTGATGATGCGCGCCCTTTCGCAAAAACTTGGAAATCATCACTTCGCGCCCACTTCGCGCCGCGGGGCCGGTTGCGGGCGCCCGAGTGCTCATGATGCTCGCCGGCTCGCCTCCTGGGGTCGCCGTGCGAAACCCGCCATGCCGTGGGGAATGGCTGCGAAGCACGTGCGTGTTCCGAGACGCCTCCGGGCCAGGGCCTGCGCGGCACAACCCGTCGTGGCTTTTGCTTCGCAAGACAAGCCCATTCGTCTGAGCCATATAGCTCAGTCCATACAGGGCAGCGAAGCGCTGCTCGATTTAAGAGCCTCCGGCTCAAGCCGCCGACCCTGTGGGCGACAGACCAGAAGCCGAATGCACTTGTACAGGCAAAGTCGTTTGGTGTCCGCGAGGCCCGTAGCGCCAGCTTTGAGCCGCTACTCGCAGTCACAGTGGTCGTAAACCCTCAAGCCGACAAGCTTCACTGGTGCGCTTCTACAGGGTCGGCGGACCCTAAACCCTGCTATACCCCCCCAAACCCTAAACCCTAAAGCTTTCACAAATGACAAAGAGAAGAGGAATCGGAAGATTCAGTCGCGCAAAGATCGAGCCCAGTTCGCGAAGGCTGATCCGGAAGATGAGGAAGAAGACGAGTGATGCTTTATGTGAAGGTTTTCACTAAACCCTGAGCCTAGAACTCTAAACTGTGAGCAGTTTCTCTTGATGAGGTGATCGTCTAGGCTACTGAGTAGGGGTCTCCTTATCAAAACAGAGTAGCAGGAATAAAGGAATCCTTGGTACCAAGGGTTACTGAGGGACCTAGTGTTTCCAAGCCTTCTTCCAGTGCAGAGGCTCTAAATATAGGGGCTTTAATAGTTAGCTGCTATACTATTTTGGTGGTTCCTTGTTATTATAAGTATAGTATAATGGGCCCCAAACCCTGTTTGAAGTATGAAGGCCCCCCATATTGCAAAGTCTAGAGGCTCTAAGGCCTGTCATGACCTTTGCCGGGAGCTGCAATCCCTGAAAGCATCCTGCCGGAACCCCCAAGGTGATATTATACCCTTATTGCTTCGGGGTTATCCTGACCTGGCTATATAAGGTTTAGGGTTTAGAGGTTTAGGGGTAATCTTGACCTGATTATGTAAGGTTGAAAAAGTAGGCATAATAAATCCCGTAAGTCCTTTCTGGGACACCTTGCAGGACGCTGCCGCTGCAAGGCCCTTATAAGCCTGAAAGCCCAACATCCACCTATGTTTCAGGTGACATCCTCCTATTTAGTGCGAACACCTCCGCAGTAGACACCAGGGAAATTCCCTGACAACAGGTACATCGTTCCCCCGGAGCCAGTAGCGCTGCTGAAAGCACAAGCATTGGACCCTGGGCATGGGAAGGTTTTTTCATAGTAGGGCGGTCCCTTTGTAGCGTTTAGGGTTTAGGGTTCCCTTAAAGGGATATAAGGGTTCCTATAAGGGTTTCTGTAAGGGTAGTTCTTGAAATCATAGGAGGACTAAAAGGGGTTTAGCCTACTGGGGTTAGCAGGGATTAGGGTTCCCAGTATAGGGTTCATATTAAGGAATCCCTACCCGAAGAATCTTGAACCCCCTTTTGGCTTCCCATCATGGGAAAGTTTGTGTGGTACAAGCTTCAGCCTGGATTTCTGCAAGGGTTTAGGGCTTAGGGTTTAGGGTTTAGGATTTCTGCAAGAGATTGAATGGTTCGTTATGAATGGTTAGTGAAGGTTCCACAAAAGTAAAAACAGGGCCAACTGTGAGATCTTGATGCAGTGGTATTTGTTGATTCTTCAGCTAAGACTGATGGCTTAAGGTCTTTATGCTTCAGTTACGGTTGAGTAGGCTTTGAGGCTACTTGCGCTTCAAGGGTGGGTTGAGTTCTATTCTTGAGGTTTCAGGGTCCAGCATCGGGTCTAAGATCTTCAGTTTATGCCGGGTTCCGAGCACCCTGAGCCCTAAAGGCCGTACCCGAGGCTCCAACAACCTACTGCTTTATGGGTTGTTACCCGATATTTCAGGGGTCATCACCTGCCATTTTTGCAGGGCTTGGCGCGCCAGGAAAGGCCGTTTGCCCAAGAGGCTACGGGCCTTTAGCCTCTCCTGGTGAAGGTCTCCAAGGATGTTTTGCTGCCGTGTTTGCAAGCTTCCGGTCAGCTCTCATGAAAAATTCTGGTGGACACAGCGACAAACCATAGACAGTCAGCTGTGAGAGTAGCAGCACTAATTCTGACAGCTGCACTAACCTCAACCCAAACCCGAATCCAACAAAAAACCTGATGCTCTACACGCTAGACCCAAGCCTTGAATGTAAAGACGAAGTTAACCCAAACCCTAAACCCTAACCCCCAAACCCTAAACCCTAAACCCAACTTCCCAGGATCTATTCGGAGAGCCTGATGAGGCTCTGCACGAGCCACAGTGTGGGCAGCAGGGAGAACTGTTCAAAAGGGGGATAGAGTAGAAGCCCAACAGTTTGATACCCAACAGCCTCAGTCATTAAGAGTAATGTGTAGGGACCCTGGCACCATTTGGCCTTAATCCGGTTTCCAACTTTATGTTGTTTTACTGTAGACGGAGTAGGGCCTACTGTTGATGATATAAATCCTGCATGACCCATCATAAGGAGAATACCATAATTCCCATCGTTTAGGATCCTTAAGGTAGTGCAGGATTTATGTCATAACCCTAAACACTAATAAATCCGTATAGATCCCATATAGTACCCTTATGAATCCCTTTAAAAGGAACCCTTATCATCAACCGTATGAAAGTTTGAGGTTGAAGGTTGGGGTTTCTGAGGTTGCAGCTCTGGCCTGGGGGTCGGAGTCGTAGACCTACCCTAAAACCTAAGCCCCTACACTTTTGAGGATGATCATGGGACTTAGTAAGGATATAAGTACCTTAGTTGGGGTTATAAGTGCTTGTAAGTATGGGTTACCGTATTTATATCCCCAGTTACTAAGTCCCATGATCCTCTAAGCACGGCTTAACTCCATGTTCATCCTCTTCACCACCTTCAGCTCTTCCAGAAGCAGCCCAGAGAGTCTATTACCCCTCAATTCAGGAAGATACCTTCAAATTCCGAAAGGGTACTAGCTATGGGGGATACTTCCCCAAATCATAATAGTGATTCTTAATACCTTACATTCTACTATATGGGTACTTTGGACCCTTTGGAACTTATAGGGGCCTTCATAGCATGGTTCGAACTCAACTTCCTTGGCCCGAGCACACTTTAAATCTACAGGGTCCCTGATATTTTGACTTCTTATTCCGCAGTTAAGGGGTGTTGGGGAAGTTGTCCAGAAAAGCCGAATGCCCCTGCTCCTCAACGGTGGTGGATAGGAAGCTTTGTATGGTGCTATGCTAGACCACGCTATACGATGCCACACTATGTGACTATGGTACATTACGACATACTCTTACATTATGCTATACTAAACTAAACTATACTATACCTGAACCCACCAGAGATTACTTTTAGCGGGTTCCCTATAGAATCTTTTAGGATTTATAAACAAGAGCCCACAAGAAAGTAGGGTGTGGTAGGTTAAAGTACTACCCAGCAAAGGCTCTAACACTCTGGTGAGTCTCGAGATTCGCACGTCCTCCCTCCAAACTCTGCAGCCCGTATTTAATGTAGTGGCTTTAAGAATTTGGTCAGGGCTTTGGTGGTTCCTTCGTATAGTTATAGTATAATATACCCCCAAACACTATTCTAAGTATTAAGGCCCTTACATTCAACATGGGTTACTTTAATGGTTACTAAAAGGGTTGCTATAGGGGTAATACTTAAGGGTTGAATAGAGCTCCTGATTCCCTGAGGATGCGGCCATACAGCTTGCTGTCTTTCAACAGCGCTTCCGGCATCAGTTGGTTTATTGATTCAGGATTTAGACGCTTTTTGTGATGCAGGTGTAGGGTTTGTGTTTGGAGTTTCAGGTTTACGGTTGAAGGGGCAGTTTAGGGCTTGGTGTTTGGAGGTTTAGGAGTTTAGGGCGTTCAGGGTTTAGGGGTTAAGCTGAGGGGTTCATGGTTTAGGGGTTTAGTAAGAGCTGGCAGCAGCAGTCTCCGCGAAACATAAAGACGCTGCACCACCAGGACGAAAGGGGTTATAATAATAATTACCATACCATTTCGGGGATTCCTTATTATGACTACAGTATAATGGGCCTTAAAACCCTATTCTAATTATTAAGGCCCCTGTTGTAGTTTGTTTTCGAGACCCAGTTCCAAGTATGTGTTCCCTGTCCAATTAGGCCTATATATTCCCTAAAGCCTGAACCCTAAACCCTACATACTATGAGCTTGGTCCTAACTGTAGCAACAACATGGAAACTTGAGAGCTCTCAAAGCCAATCCTAGAGGGACGTGTGCTGGCCGATGCGTAAACCTTGAGCCCCAAACCCTTAGCCGTAGCCCTTGTTTACTGATTCAGTTGGTTGCTAAAAGACCCTCATGGCCATATAACACAACACACCTGGAACCAAGGATAAGGAATGACGAGAGCAGTGGTGACATAGTGTTGCCGCGTTCGGTCTCTTCCCACCTCATCCTAAACGAATCTCTATAGGCCTGGGCACCTATTATAGGGGCCTTAACAATTACCTATACTATTCTGGAGGTATGGGCCACAAAACCCTATTCTAATTATTAAGGCCCCGATATGCAGGGCGTTGTCCAAGTCGAAATTCTGAATTGACCAGGGTATGTTAGATTGTTGTGACACTCTGGCCATGTTGCGAATGCTTTGTGCAAGCAATGAACACTTCATTCGTCGACATCAACACATCCAGGTGGTCGTGCAATCGAACCTTTCCCCGTTCGCGGCTTATGCCGGGAATCTTTTTTCCTGCTGTCACCGCTACGAACACGGTTTGCTCCGAAAACACAACGGCCGCGGTGTACGAGGGGTCACTCATGACAGTGCAGCCAAGCCCGTGCCCATCTCGGCGCCGCCCAAAGGTAAGGGCAAAGCCGGCTTTGAGAAAGGAGGGCCGTGGCAATGTTTCCGCAAAAGGCCTGGCCAAATCCCGGGTTTTGCTGTCCAAGCTCGCTGCGGTCAACAGTATGTTGCTCGTACAAGGACTTGAAGGACAGCTTGGCAAGTCTCCCCAGTACGTGGAAAGAACTGCAGGATCACCAAGCACGAAACGGCCACATGGCATGGAAGGAGTGGATTGCTGACAATATCCTGACTGTTCTTCTGCACGCCAGACGTCTCCGAGACCCCGTCCGCTACCAGGCGGTGTTCCGCAAGGCCACAGTTTTCGAAAAGGAACTCACCCCAGCCTCGCCTACAAAGCACGTCGCCTGATTTGGGGGGGCTGACCCGGCTCCACCAGGGTTTAACTAGGCTTTAGGGTGGACCTGGTTAATTTCGGCACTGATGCATGCAGCTCAGCAAAGCGCGGTTGTCCCACAGCACTTGTAGAAACCTATAGGCCTAAGCCTGTAGACATTCCAGGATTCAGATGCAAGCGACCGCAACCTTAGGCCATAGCCCAAGCCCGAAAACTGAAAACTTCGAAATCCTGCAGCCCTCAGCTCAAAGCCCTGAAACACTTCATCTGAAGCCCGCAGCGCACAAAAGCCCTGAAGCCCCGAAACCTTATGTCCTCCCGCCCTTCCCTTGAAGCCCTCATTGACGTCATCCCGAGCCCAGCAGCCAGTTGGCTTCTCTGGACCCAAGATGGAGCATTTTGCTCGGGCGTTGAGGTGCAGTGGGATGGGG